GTCTGAGGGAGGAGGGGCTGGGGGCCCGGACACTTAGGTCTTATGGGAGGGTAGACCCAGTCATAATCCTGCAGTGCTCCCCCAGCCAGGTACCCCGCCTCTCTGCAATGTGTGAACATCAACATCTCACCCGATGAGGTGTGCCAGAAGGCCTATTCTAAAGCCATCACGCCTGGCATGGTCTGTGCAGGAGTTCCCCAGGGCGGGAAGGACTCTTGTCAGGTAAGGCTCAGGATGGGAGCTGGGGGAGGGATTATGTGGGACTGGGATTTAGGCAGACGATGTCAGGAGCATGGAATTCTGCAGAGGTCTTCAAAAGAGAGTGAGCCGCAGGGACGGAGAGATTCCGATAGCAAGGCTACCCTGCTTCCTAGCCCTATGCCCCCTGGGTAATGGACTCAAAGCATTCATGCCTCAGTTTCCTCATCTGTCAGTTGGGGATAACCCTCTTAGGGTAGTTGGTGGAGTAGGATGAGGCAGGTTGGGGAAAGATCGCAGAGTGGCATCTGCTCATATGGGTCTGGGAAAGGCTGTGCTGAGGCTTCTAGAAATCTGAATGTATCCTTGAGAGAGGCAGAGACGGGGAAATAGAAAAAGAGAGACACACAAGTGTTCTACAGATGGAGCGAACAGAGAGGGGCCCGGTGAGACTCAAGGGACAGGCAGGTGCACACGGAGACAGAGCCAGACCCAGTGGAGGGGGAAGGAAGTGCCCTGACCTCTGGGACTGAGACCTCAGAGCTGGGGCAGGACTGTGTCCCTAACTGTCCACCCCAGAGTCTCTTCCTGTCTCCCTGACTATCTCTGCTTCTTGGGTTCTCTGTGCCGTGGCTCTAGCCACCCATCCATCGGTGTCTCTATCTCTGTTCCTCCCCCTCAGGGTGACTCTGGGGGACCCCTGGTGTGCAGAGGACAGCTCCAGGGCCTTGTGTCTTGGGGAATGGAGCGCTGCGCCCTGCCTGGCTACCCTGGTGTCTACACCAACCTGTGCAAGTACCGAAGCTGGATTGAGGAAACGATGCGGCACAAATGATGGTCTTCACGGTGGGATGGACTTCGTCAGCTGCCCAGGCCCTCCCCTCTCCACTCAGGCCCCAGCCCCTCCTCCCTCAGACCCAGGAGTCCTGACCCCAGCCCCTCCTCCCTCAGCAGGCCCCAGCCCCTCCTCCCTCAGACCCAGGAGTCCTGACCCCAGCCCCTCCTCCCTCAGACCCAGGAGTCCAGACCCCCCAGCCCCTCCTCCCTCAGACCCAGGAGCCCAGGCCCCAGCCCCTCCTCCCTCAGACCCAGGAACCCCAGTCCCCAGCCCCTCCTCCGTCAGACCCAGGAACCCCAGTCCCCAGCCCCTCCTCCGTCAGACCCAGGAGCCCAGGCCCCAGCCCCTCCTCCCTTAGTCCCAGGAGCCCCAGTCCCCAGCTCCTCCTCCCTCAGACCCAGGAGGACAGGTCCCAGCCCCTCCTCCCTCAGACCCAGGAGTCCAGACCCCAGCCCCTCCTCCCTCAGACCCAGGAGTCCAGGCCCAGCCCCTCCTCCCTCAGACCCAGGAGCCCAGGCCCCAGTCCCTCCTCTCTCAGACCCAGGAGTCCAGGCTGCAGCCCCTCCTCCCTCAGACCCAGGAGGACAGGCCCAGCTCCTCCTCCCTCAGACCCAGGAGCCCCAGTTCCCAGCAACCTGATCTTTACTCCGGCTCTGATCTTTCCTTTCCCAGATCAGTTGCTTCAAGCGTTTTCTCCCCACCATGCCCCCACCCTTGCTGTGTCACCATCACAGAGGCACAGAGGGCAGGAGCACAGACACCTTAAACCAGCATTGCATTCCAAAGAAGACAATTTTTAACACGCTTAGTGTCTCTAAAAACCGAATAAATAATGACAATAAAAATGGAATCATCCTAAGTTGTATTAATTCATCCATTTATTTATTTTTTATATTTTGAGACAAGGTCTTGCTCAGTCTCCGGCTGGAGTGCCGTGACACAATCATGGCTCACTGCAACCTCAACCTCCTGGGCTCCAGTGATCCTCTTACCTCAGCCTGCCGGGTAGCTGGGACCACAGGTGCCTGTCACCATGCCCGGATACTTTTCAAATTTTTTGTAGAGACGAGGTTTCCCTGTGTTGCTCAGGTTGGTCTCGAACACCTGGCCTCAAGCGATCCACCTCCCTCAGTTTCCCAAAGTGCCGGGATTGCAGGTGTGAGCTGTCACGCCCAGCCTCATCCATTCATTTAATTACTTCAAGAAACAGGTACACAGTGGCCTCACCATGCCCAGCCGGGAGCTGTGTACTGACAAGTGGCTGCCTCCCTCTTTGCGTGGTTTTCCTCGGGAGTCCCCCGTCCACCCCACTGTATCAGGTTTCTAGACGGTAACACCTCAGCCCTGCAGAGTGACCTTAAGCACGACTGCCTTCTACCAGCCTCCTCCCTGGAGCCCCTGTGGTCCAGGGCAGAGAACTAACTGCCTTGTTTCCTGGAAAATTCTATGCAAATGAAGATGTCCTCTTTTTCCTAATCAGATCTCAGGTGAGGAGAGTTGAGTTAATCACAGGCTTCAGTTCCTGTCCAGGCAAAGCCTTTCTCTCGTTTTATTAATTTATTTCCACTCTTCATCTCTGGCTGTGCTCCCCTCCCTTCCCACAGGCACCGACACAGATGACTTTGAATGCCCTGCATCCTTGGAAAACAACGCAGTGTCATGGTGTTGTTTCTAATTTACATGAAACCATTGTGTTAGGAATCTCATTCTCTTTCTTACTTTCACTCATCAACAGCTATTGAGTACCTACTACACGCCAGGCATTGGTCTATTTATTGGGCACCTGCTATGCACCTGGTATTGTTCTGGGTGCTGGAGGAAGCGCTGCGAGCAAGCCAGTCAGAATCCCTGCCCTCACAGAGCTTATATTCTAGCAGGAGATGACAGACAAGAAGCCGTAAACATAATTTTAAAATAAAGCAGAGTCCCTATGAGTAACGAGGTCAATAAATGTGGGCTGGGCGGCAGGCCCAATGTGTGCCAGGGCCAGCTCATACATGCTCGCAGGAGTCTACCGGCAAATTTTCAGGAATTTCGAGAGCTGGTTGCTAAATGCAGCCATTATTAAAAATTAAATTACATAAGCTTATAATTACATAATTGATTTAAAAAATTGTCAGTAAATACTCAAAACTCAACTGTTGCTAATTATTTCAATGAATACCTATGCTTGGGAGTGAGGTATGTCTCTTGTACGTCTGTAATGATGAGCTTCTGTACATCTCTTTCCAGCTCCCCAACTCTGTATGCACCAGTAGCTTGACAATAGCCAAAGTAGAAGTATTTACTGCACTGAAATTGAAAAACACTAGAGATAGGGCTTTGCCGGACAGTCATTGCTAAACCTTTACCAGGCACCCTTGGATGGGTCTGCCTGGGAATGACCTAATGATCTTAGTGTCTGTCTTCTCAAAGTTCTGTGCTTGGATACTACAGAGTACAGATAAAATAGAATGTTGTACTCACCTTATGTTCTATGGGGACAGCACAGTATTGGGGAACCCGAAGGTGGCAGGTTTGGGACATGCACGAAAGATTGCTGGGAAGTAGAGGCTGCCTCCTTTTTCCTCATCCTCCCACCCCTTCCCCCAGCTTCTGGTAACCACCATTCTACTCTCTTCTTCTAAGAGTTTGAGTTTTTTAGATTTCACATATAATTGAGAAATTATATGTGATTTCACATATAAGTGAAAATATAATTATGTATGATTTCACATATAACTGAGATCATGCAGTATTTGTCATTCTATGTCTGACCTATTTCACTTAACACAGTGTCCTCCCAGTCCATCTATGTTGTCACAAATGACAGGATTTCTTTCTTTTATAAGGTAGAATAATATTAAATTATACTGATATTAATATATTACATTTCCTTTATCCATTCATCCATCAACAGACACACAGGTTGTTTTCATATCCTGATCATTATGAATAATGCCACCACGAACATGGGTGTGCAGATATTACTTTCAGATACCAATTTCATTTCCTTGCACCAACTTACATTCCCACCAACAGGGTACAAGGATTCACTTTTTTTTCCCCCACATCCTTGCCAAGGTTGTTATTGTTTGCCTTTTCTATACTCGTCATTCCAAAATGTGGGAGGCGACATCTTACTGTGATTTTAATTTGTGTTTCCCTGATGATTAGTGATAGTGAGCACCTTTTCATATACTTGATCCCTTGTATGTCTTCTTTGGAGAAATGTCTATTCAGGTCCTTTGCCCTTTTTTTTTTTTTTTTTCCCGGAGACAGAGTCTCTCCCTTTTGTCCAGGCTGGAGTACAGTGGTGTGATCTCAGTTCACCGCAACCTCCACCTCCTGGGTTCAAGCGATTCTTCTGCCTCAGCCTCCCAAGCAGCTTGGATTACAGGCATCTGCCACCATGCCCAGCTAATTTTTGTATTTTTAGTAGAGACAGGGTATCATCATGTTGGTCAGGCTGGTCTCAAATTCCTTACCTCAGGTGATCCACCCACCTCAGCCTGCCAAAGTGCTGGGATTTCAGGCATGAGTCACTGCGCCTGGCCCTTTGTCCATTTTTAAATTGGGTTATTTGTTTTCTTGCTGTTGAGTTTTTGCATTCCTTATATATCTTGGATATTGACCCTTTATCAGATACATCATTTGCAAATATTTCCTCCCATTCAGTAGGTTGTCTTTTCACTCTGTTGATCATTATCTGTTGGTTGTTTCCTTTGGTGCACAGAAGCTTTTTCATTTGATACAACCCCATTTGTTTTGTTGTCTGTGCTTTGATATATTTTATTATTTAGATATTTTATATCTAAAATATCATTGCCCAGACAAATGTCAAGAAGTTTTTCCCCCAGGTCTTCTTCTTATCATTTTACAGTTTCAGGTCTTATGTTGAAATCCTTAACCCATTTTGCGTTGATTTTTATACATGGCATGAGATAGGAGTCCAATTTTATTCTTCTCCTTGTAGGTATCCAGTTTTTCCAACAGCTTTTGTTAAAAAGAATAGCCTTTTCCTTTGGGTTAAAGATCAGTTGGCGGTAAATGTGTGGATTTATTTCTGAGCTCTCTGTTCTGTTCCATTGATTATATGCCTGTTTTTGTGCCAGTACCATGCTGTTTTGGTTACTATAGCTTTGTAGTATGTTTTGAAATCAGACCGTATGATGTCTCCGGCTTTGTTCTTCTTGCTCAAGGTTGCAGGGTCTTTCATGGTTCCATATTTATGATTTTTTTTTCTACTTCTGTGGAAAAAAAAATGCCATTGGAATTTTGATAGGGATTGCAATGAAAATGTAGATAGTTTTGGTTAGTATTGACATTTTAACAATATTAATTCTTCCAATTCACAAATATGGGATATCTTTCCATTTCTTTATGTTGTCTTCAATTTTTTTCATCAATGTTTTATAGTTTTCAGTGTACAGATTATTTACTTCCTTGGTTAAGTTTATTTTTAAGCATTTTATTGTTTCTGATGCCATTGTAAATTGAGTTGCTTTCTCAATTTTTTTCTAATAATTCATTGTTAGGATGTAGAAACACAACCAAATTTTGTGTCTTGCAACTTTACTGAATTCATTTATGAGTTCTAACAGTTTTTTGGTGGACTCTTCAGGGTTTTCTGCATATAAGATATGTCATCTGCAAACAGAGGTAATTTTACTCTTTCTTTCTGATCTGGATGCCTTTCATTCTTTTTCATGCCTAATTACTATGGCTAGGACTTCTAGTGCTAATGTTGAATACAAATGGCTAGAGTGGGCATCCTTGTCTTGTTCCTAATCTTAGAGGAAAAGCTTTCAAGTTTTCACCCTTGGGTATGATGTTAGCTGTGGATTTGTCATATATGGCCTCTACTATGTGAGGTACATTCTCTCTATACCTAATTTGTTGACTGTCTTTATCATGAAATGATGTGGTATTTTGCCAAATGATTTTTCTGTACCTATTAAGATGATCATATAATTTTTATCCTTCATTCTGTTGAGGTATATCACGCTTCGTGATTTGTGCATGTTGAACCATCCTTATATCCCAGGGATAAATCCCACTTGATCATGGTATATGATGTTTTTAATATGCTACTGAATTTAGTTTGCTAGTGTTTTGTTGAGGATTTTTGCATCTATATTCATCAGAGATATTGGCCTATCATTTTCTTTTCTTATAATGTCCTTGTCTGAGTTTGTGGAGGTTGCATCTTCTGTGTCAAGGTGATAAACACACACTGTGGGTTTAATACATAGCAGTCATACAAGCCCTATAGGAAAAAGGAGACAAAAGAAGCTGTGTACTTGAGTAGATTTGGGCCCCCAGTGACATGATATAACTCACGCTATAATTCTCATCCTGCATCCTTCTACAAAGCTAAGTAAAAATAGTTTAAAGATTACTTTAATCTTTTTTGCAACTCAGAGTTCCAGTTGTGTTGGTTGAGCACCATATTTTATTGATTTAAAGACACATTCTTTTCATATTTTTAACATCTCTGAAATTAGGAGGCATCTTACATTTTAATTCAGCATGATGTCTTACATGTCATAATTTAATTGACAACTTCTTTTTCTTTCTGAGTGGTCTACAAAATAACAGTGCAAATATAATCAACAGTATTTTACATTCAATTAAATAGTGTGTGAAGGAAGGCAAGTGTAGGTGAGGAGTCAGTTTGTATTATTAAATAAGTCGTCTGATTTTGTCAAATAATCTTGTAACGATCTATCTGCATCATTGTTTGCTCATCTAGTTCATTGCTTCTAACTGCCCCAGAGTCTTCTAGACATATGTTGTCCAATATGGTAGCCATTAGCCACAAGTGGTGTGACCATTTAACTTTTGATTAAAATTAATTA